TGATACTGGAGAGGGACGCTTTGGTACAAAATTATTGTTAGTCTTAGGATCATGAAGTAATGGTATTAGTAACTGAGATTGATCAGACTGTCTCACCAAATTAAACTAGAAATAATGAGAGAAAAACTACTCAATAAAAGAGACTCTATATATTATAAGACACCAAAGGTGCCTGGCCCCACCCCTTTAGTTGTTTGGAAGGTGTAAGGCTCTATAAGCTTAGCTATAGTCAAGCATAACTGCAAGTTAATTTGATCAAAAGTGAGTGACACTGGAAAATAGCATCACATGGGTTTACACCTACTCCCTGCTTGGAGGTGTGCCATTATCAGAAAATGTAATAAGAATTTGGAGTGATTTTTGAGCCATTTTTGGAAAAAGCATGGGCTATAGTCTTGGGCAGATACATTGGAATCAGCTTAAACTTTCTACACAGCATAAGGACATCAATGAGTTCCCAGGGAGTTTTTGAGAAACAAAACACCTTTAGTGGTGCAATCTGATTGGTCAATTACATGTATGTATATTCTAAGTATCAGAAAATGTAAAAATGGAGAATTCTGAACTTCGAACCATTATGTACATGCTCAATGGCACATGATCATAAAATCACTAAATTAAAACCCAGTAGTACAGTACCTATCCCTCCTAATTACCAGTAGTAAAACTTTCCCTCTAAATATTATTCCGGGAGCTCCAGGACGAGCATAATCGCCGAGCTCAGCATTTTTAGGTACCACAAGACAAAACTCGACCCTCCGGATAGCATCAGGTGATGGTTGCTATGGAAACAAACAAGAAAAATATATAAGCATGGGCATTAATAAGAGTACTGGTGAGCATTAAATAGAACATCCTACAATCATTAATATGTACAGTGTACCATTTGGATCTTCATGATACTGATACAAGCCTTAATTTAGTGTCTTTAGAGGAATCCAGAACAACTGCATAAAGGAACTGAGGGCAGTGGAAGAATAGGAATCGAGGCTTAACGACCTAATAATAATAATAATAATAATAATAATAATAATAATAATAATAATAAGAATAATAATAATAATAATAATAAATTAATTGACCATTAGTGTCCATTACCTTGTATTGGTTTGGGTGATAGATATAATGAACTCATTGTTGAGGGATGGAGGGAGAGGGAGAGAGACAGAGAACATAGATATTAGAGTAAATGAAAGGGATTGGAAACGGAAGCGTGGGCGTGGGCAAACCTCCATTCATTTGTATTGTTGCTAAGTAAACAGAGGAGGGTTGGGATTTTTTGACCAATTTTGGAGTAAAAAACTGGGATTTTCTTGCTTTATTCTTGAATATCTCCAAGAGAATACAATTCATGCAAACAAAACTCACACACAATACTAACCAATGTTTATGCTTTTTATTAATATTTTTTGTTTAGTAAATCAATGCATGCGTTAGTAGCCGCGTCTCTCTTTAGCTAGAAATACCATCTTTTCCCCCTCTGAGAGACTCATTTTATTCTTGAGCTAAGAATAAGTATAACTATTTTAAGGAGCTTGAAATCTCCTATGGAATGAGCTAACTTGCATATTGATACACTGAAGCTTGAGTGTTTTACGAAGGATAAAGTGTTTCAAAACAGGCGACTCTGTGTACCTTTAACTGGTTGCAAAATGGCTTTTTGGAGATAAAAACCTTGCTGCGGGTAGCTCTAAAAATTCTATGTGGAATAGGCTATGTATCAAAAGCAAGCGCTATCCTGGAGCAGCACAAATTTCCTTCGAAATCCTGCCAGAGCAACTTCACCAATGGAGGAGATGGGAAATCAATCAAAACACTCGTGGTTGTCACGTGGTAACCCAACCCGCATTTCCTGTTGCTAAATTTTCCGGCTATACAGTAGTGTACCAATTATTTTATTGTCTTTATTTTAAATGTCAGTAGTACAGTATTACTTGTAATATTATTATTATTATTATTATTATTATTATTATTATTATTATTATCATTACTTGTAATAATTCTTATTAGTGTGGTTTGTGTGTCAATGGAAGGAATTCCTTCTTTGTCACAACTAACACCTAGCAACAAGATCAGTCTGTTACCATGGTAGCAATTAACATACCACAGAATGAGACTCCGCCCTCTGACGATAACTGAACATAAACAGAACTGGAACAGGCCAACAGTTAAGGGAAGAATAATATTAATAAATGGACCTTGTTTCATAGTCCATTTCCTGATACATCATGTACATGTACTCATGTTGTATTATAGAAACTTTCCATTGTGTTGTAATTTTATTAATAATAAATAATTAATAAAAGGATACACATTTCCTCTTGATAGTTTAAGATATGACGGATTAATACCAATAATCTATAGAAATGATAATAATAATAAT